AAGTCTTAATCGATTGCCATGTAAGCGATAAACAAACTACCAGGCAAGAAGAACATTACCTGAATGGAATGTAGCCTATATATCTGTAAAATTATGGTTTAACCCGTTATCGGTATTATTACAATGATTGACCTGATCCTACAATTTTAGATATGTCATGTGACTACATGATTTACAGGTTCTAGGTCTTACGTGGAAGTCACGTTATTGTCCACAATGTCTCATCCTATCGTAAAAATCACCAATATATGGTGTACAACACATTTAGGCTAGAGATAGTTCAATATATTTAATATGAATAAAAATGTTAAGTTACACAAAATGACCACGCCTGCAAGGCTAGGCCATGCTATCCGATTGAACTGAATTGAACATTCCCACGTACCCTATTTATAACTTTTCTTAATATTGCACGTTGAAGGTCTATTTACCCAGTTATCTCATGTTAAGCTTTGAGGATTGTGGTTAGAACCAGTACCACTACTTGTCAAAGCATACCATTTAAGAGACAATTAGTATCAAAATGTAGAATGGAAACTTCAGTTAGGCCGTAAAGATCAACCTGGGGATTCAGGCGTTGAGTATCTCATATTCATTTTCGGTGAGACGTTTTGATGAGGAGATAGTCAGGAGATATTTCAGAAGTAGTTTCGTCAATGACTTTTGTTTAACAATAATAACTGTTTTTAGTAGTTGTCTTCACGATGTTGACGATGTAATGCCTCATATGACCCATTGTGTAAGACAAACGCACGTATAAGGTTACACATATTTGAAATAGAATGAATGAAATAAATTACAGTTAAAGGAATGCGGATACTTGATCAATATTTACCTTGACACTAAACAGTAAAATAATTGACAGTTGGTTAAATATATGTTTTATGGTTAAATTTATACGTCTATTATATCTAGACCACCATTGAAAACCTGGGAACGCCGGACGGCTGTTTCACTCTAGTATGGGACTCCTAAGCAGTGCTCATCCACAGTCTTGTATGTGAGACTCGAACCCAGGAATTTCGGCCTCGATCACGAATGCTTAACCCATAAACCACTCAACCGGCATCCAACAGTGGTAATGTCTAACTTCATTCGAATCATGATCTTACAGAATCATTTATCCATTGTCTGAGATAGATACCTGCCTCCATTCGACACGGATAGGGACCCATTGGTAACAGTTTCTCAATAGAACTACAGGAGATCCATGATAAAGTCAGTCGCTAGTGAGCAAATAATGATGATATCAGAATATAGGTTTATGAAGATCGTAATAATTTTAATAGTTGGGTGGTGGTTTAGCTTATATCGACTAAGGAATGGAACTACCAAAATTACCACAATCTACACAAACCCTCATTCTGATAATAAAAATTGTCACAATTCAAGTTTCACTTGATTTTGTGTTAATAGAACTGAAAATGTTAGCATTCAACAATGCGCTCAAACTTGACGTAAGCATGTAGATATATACTCAGTCATTATGAAGCAATAATTCCAAGAGAGAGCTTGTAACAGCTTACGTTGGTTGGTAAGAGTTCACCACAGACAACTGAGCATATGCCAAAACAGTATAGTTAAAGTGTTCATTCACTTCCTTATTTTATATGGGCGTTATATTCCCTATTATCTTATATTGAATGTTGAGAGGTTTTTTGTCTTAACAAATAATCCGACGCTCAACTGTGACAGCGTGAAGATCTGAAAAAGGACTCATTCACTACTTGTATGGTTTCTTCTATCATTACCACAAAGGTTAACTAGAGGCACGAAACTGGTGAGCCCGACGTGGAAAATTTTTTCGGAACTTCAACGAGAGGTTGTGGGATTACAATTTGTCTGAGCATCAGTTTTTTTTGCCACTTTCTCATGTATTCTATACGAAATAAAGACGTTATTACTTAAAAGGTTCTGTGAGCGTGTTACATTAATCTAATCCTTCTTTAACGATATATGCGCATCTCATAATAGCTGTCAAGAGATTTGCATAATCGTCTAAAGTAAATTAATAGTATTAAAGATCAACAATAGGTACAATAAAGGGGAAACAGTACTGCATAAATGTCCTGTTGAATGGAGTTAGTGTCCAATTCTGAACATGTCAAACTAAGGTCTGAAGTTCAAAGTCACTAATAATGAATCACATTGTTGAGGTAGACCTTTGGGTTCTCTTCTAATTTTAGTAACCGGAGTTTACTGCTGTATCAAAGAGTTTGACTAACTTGGTGCATTTTAAGGCAGAAGAACCGGTAGATAGACGAGCTTATTCTGTTTATGGAAAATCATCAGGCTAAGCGAAGTACACAACCTTTGCTGAGCCTTGTTATGAGGCACAATACTGTCAAAGATGTCACAGATATTGGTGTTTGACAAAACATCTGTCCATTTTAACTTTATGATTGAGGGCTCAAAATCCTGTCGAATCCGAAGTCAGGAGTTAAGGTGTTTATAGACATATTTGACAGTTACTCGATATGTGATCTAAGCTCGCAAGTTGTTAGTAGTGTGTAATGCGGCATATTCAACGGTTGTCGCCTTCGGCTACAATGTGTCTCTTAAAAGTAATGAGGTTGGCACCAATATCGAAGACTATTCATTCCGAGAATTTTTCAACACCATACTGTTGCTCTTTATTTTATTAAAACAGTGTCAACTCTTTTAAGATATGATGAAATGTTTGGTAAAGGTTGCTCTTGTTCGGAGACGAAAACTATGGAAGATTGGCTTCACAGGCTGAAAATTTCTCCCTAGTAAGAAAATATCAAGGATGGCATTACTACGACACGTGGAAACTTACCTTCAACAAACTCTTTCAGCCCAAATCAAAAGAATCACCATTTCAACCACAAAATTCTAAGGAAAAATATTTCGTCCGTACATTGTCTTTTATTGAACACATGTTAAGCGATAACCATTGTGCTTTCCACCACTATTTATTCTAGAGCACATTCAGCTGTGGAATGCAAATAACAGATGCTTGATATTAGTAGACTTCATTACACCTGATGTTAGTTGGACTGAGGTAGTCACGGTAGGATCTTTGTGATAAAATAATATTACAGGATGATCTTAACTCATTAGTGGCATGGATAGACGGACAGTCACCAGAAGGGAATTCTAACAAGAGTGTGGTGATGCAATTAAATAACTATGATGATTCACATCACTACACAATACGTGTGTAAATGATCTATGTCCAATTTTTGTGGGCCTACTCGAGTTAGACGGGAATGGTGTGATCAACAGTTAACATTGAAGTCAGCACCTCACATTGATTACTCCTTCGTCGTACGAAGGCACTGTGGCTGCTTTGATTACCGTGTAACATAAGGGACGTTATTACGGAAATATATTGGTAAGAATGAATACGGAGAAGATAGTGAGACCATCACTATGGCATACGATTGACTGATGCGCGTTGGTTGTCCTTGATCTCGACAGGGATCGATGATCTGTTCGATTTTAAGTGACCCAACTGCCGGATGATTTGGCTACGGCTCAGAGACATTTCACTGGCCCTACACGTGGAGCCGTGTTACACAAAGCAATAAACTATAAAGATTTAGGAGTCATAATAAGCAGTAATCTAAAAACTACGAGTAACTTCAAGGCTGCTGCTGCTAGAGGCTATTCGTAAGTCTTTTCAGTATTTGGGTGAGGGAATGTTTAGATAATTATATACGACTTTCGTGAAATCGCATTCGGAATATGGTTTAAAGCAGTCAGTCCCTGTTTCAAGTATGAAGCAAATGTGCTGGACCGGGTCGAACGACAATGGGCTGAAATGGCAAGACGTCTGTTTGGCCTATCTTATGAAGACACACTAAAACACCTCAACTAATTTCCGTTATTTTACTGTAGAATACGATGTGATCTAATATTGGCTTATTGTATTGATGATGTCACAGGTATATATATTTCGTTCCCACCAAGAGAAATCAAAAGACAGAGTCGAGGAGATCGGAAGAGTATATTTAGCGATGACCAATATATCGGAATTCTCTGATCTAATCTGGCTAGCGATTGCGGTTGATGTTGAGCACGGCGTTACCACACGTGATCTGGTACGGATGCCTGAACGAGCGCCTTCAGCTAGATGAGTCCACTAAAACATATGGTCAGCACCCAATGTCGAAAACTTACAGGGCTATTTATTTTGGGGATTTATTTACCGCTACAGTATACTGAACGATGAACGTGGTATTAATATGTCCTATCTTTTCCTTCTGTCTAGGACTGACCATTTTAGAGGACATTCGAAGAAAGTTCAAAAACCGAGATCAAAGCGTTTACGTCTGGAGTTTCGTTTCTCGCACTGAGTAGTGAACGACTGGAATTCTCTACCGGAACACGTAATTTCAGCACCTTCAGTTGATATATTCAGAACGAGATTGGACCTCCACAATATTGCAAACTTCAGGGATTAATATAGGTCGATAGACCTCCTATCCTTATTACTGAAGACTGAAAGCCACACCAAAGCGTTTATAATCTCAAGGTCGGTTGACGCGATCGTTTGGTAAGGCGCGATGTTGAACAGAATGGATTTTCATTCTAGTAATCTATCATACCGCGGAAGAAGGTATTTGGTGTTTACACCTTGAAATAGTTTTTTAAGGATGGAAATTCTTTTGGTAGTTTTAGCTGTCATCAAACTATTAAAAGTGATATCTGTATACGCTACGTATGAACTGTTAAAGAATTCTAATCCTCTCACTATATTAATTGCTTTAAAATTTACGTAAGCTTGTCAATAAATTTATCATATATCTCTTCTAGTGCATTAATTATTATGGTGCCACTGCAGAAGCCCTTTAATGGACCTAAATTGAAGATTACTGAGGTCTGTTCATTGGCTATTCGCTGTTTATTTCTAGTGGTTTCACATCTTAAAGTTCTCTTTTGTCCGGCTTCTTATTGATGCACTTTGGATAGAGGGGCTTATTCTTTGTGGTCCCTTCAGGTGACAAAATTTCACAATGGGTTCTTATTTTCAGGTTTATCTTGTTGTTCGAGCACAGCGAACTTCTAATTCTTGCTTCAGTTGGTACATTTATCTTCGGGTCCAATTGCACTAAAAAAGTTAGTATCTTAAACTTTAAACTTGATCATTTGCAGACTCGAGGGTCAGTATTCTTTGTAATTGGTGTAGTATGTTTGGTATTTTTTGACCATGATTATAGTCATGGGGAGACGGAGCATCGTATCCTTTTCATTACTTTTTTACCTAGTGGTGTGATATTTATTCTTTCTTTAACATTGTTTTGGCATTTTGTTAGTAGTGTTTCGGAAAGCAACTCATTACGTTGATTAGGACTTGTGATAACTGACTGTTTCACGGTTGACATTCACGTTAGGTGACCTTTTATTCCAAAATGCGAGTTCTTGTGTGTGCGAAGGACACAATTCAATGCTGTAATAACTCAGTTAGCCATTTTATTTGTTCAGGCTCTTGTGTTATTGAATGTATTATATAAACTTCGTTCACTACTTGTTGATGCTAATTTTGCGTTGCTATTTAGTTGCCAACGTTGATGTCAATTTATTGAGTGAGTGCCAGTCAATATTTTATGCAATTCTGTTAGTCGGCATACAGACAGATTTAGTAGTGTACTGTGCTGCGCTAAACTTTAATACTGGAAGAAATTTGAAAATTCGGCATAAAAACGATTGTGTCATAAAGTATAGAATGGATATCGTAGTTTAGGCTGAAATGATGTAATATATTTACAGCTATGAGACGGTACTTTATTCCAGTCTGAATAGTCCTCAAATGATACATTATATCTGCGTTTCAACGATAATTGGTTCCATTATATCGTTTTATTGAGAGATTTCAGGTAGTCTCACTGTCCTGACAATTTCTTACCATAACATTTGATCCTTGAGTGATTGATATTTTCTGCAAGCTGCTTGTATTTATGCGTATACATATACGTGGATATTTCCCTTTAACTCCCTTCTCTAATATTGTGTAGCTGAAGGAGTTCATAAAAGTTTCCTAATCCATCATTTATATGAATTATTTGTAAACTTTGGACTCTCAGATCACAAGGTAAGATTTATTTTACTTGCATGTTATGAATTGTCTAAAAGAAGTGACGTGCACTTCTAATGTGAGATTTATTTTATGTAATAAAGTTAAGACGAATATCCTGATAGTCATCACTGTAAAGCATGATCATTGCTACGATTTTGTGTACTATTCACTTCAGCTATCTCCATTACTAAGTTGATAGTTCGAAAGTTCAACTGGGTATCTTTTTTTACTGCTGAAGTCTACTTGGTCCTCTTAATCTTCATAAACATTTATTCGACGGTGTTTGTTTCTGTTTTTGCCCATTCGTATTAATAGATCACTCCACTCAATAGTAATCTTAACTTTTACTTGTTTGCCCGAGGTTCTTAGTTGGATTAATTAAACTGGTGAGGACTAGTGCTGAAATCTAAAACTGTCGGTGTATTCTGCTTATTATTGGTGAATCAGCTTATAAACGTTGGGTTTATTTTGGCGTTTCGTTTATATTTAGTGTGAGTTTCTTGTACCAATTGGCATAGTATCGACGCTTCAAAAGTGATGCACACCGAAATGGAGTGGTCAAGATGAAGCAATGGAACTAACAGTATCATCAGTGATAGTAAAAAAGATTCAGCATCAACACTGTGATCCAAAAGGAAGTTATAATTCGCAAAATAAAAAATGCAAATTATTCTTGAAAACCAGTTACCTAAAAGAAGACAAAGTGGAATCATTTACGCCATTGCAATTGATTCTAACGCTAACAAATAAATAAAAATAAATTAACTCATTCGTCAAGTACTTGGGTATGAACTACACTTTAAGTGTGAAAGCTAATGATACTGTCCAGCTGCCCAAACCTTAGTAGACTAGACGGGTCCAAACCTGAGAATGACTGGAGCCCAAACGCCTTAACCACTTAGTCATTTCTGTTAAACAGGCTAAATATCACTTCTACCTTAGCAGAGATGACTTAGCTTATTTCTTTGATGGTATTGACGACATGTATAAAACTGCATACATTTGGTGAGTTATTGGTAGTTGATTCTAATGAAATACACGAATAGGAATCATTTTAACAGATACCTGATCCCCTTATCTGATATATCCCTTATTCTCATAGTTGGGGAGTTTTATTGGTTGTGAACATAGGCCACGTGGGCATTTTGTTGTTTAATATGACTCTCAAACCGCGCACTATCAGGTAGTGAGTTGATATGGCTAGTTGTTAATCTATAAGATTGCCTTTGACAAGGGCGACAAATATTCATAAAAATGTAACAGTAGCAGGATGTTTTGCTTGTCAGCTAACTTGTAAACTATCACCAGTCGATTTTCTTTCCATTCAAAAGGTTGGTGTTGTTGTCCTAATTAGTGCGGTTTGCTTGGATGCCGGGCTAGCTTCAATTTCTAGGACGTTAGTAACATCTGTCGGAGGTGCCAAACGTTTATACAGCCTTTCTGCGTTAATCAGCTTCGTCATATTGATTCCGTTTTTTCTTCTTACTCACTTCTTCAATGGAAACTCCTTTCACACCAAGGTAATTGGGTATATATTTGAATTCCTTTGTTTGCCTTCATAAATCCTTCCATATTGTTTTAATGTTTCGTAATTAGGTATGAGTTTGCTAGTCTCTCAGAGTATCTAGATATTATCGAACGTTATCTTTATCTTATGATGGCTTTTACAAAGCATATACCAATAGATTTGTTTTGATTGCTTTCCGTGGTTTGTATATTTTTCACATGTGTGAGGGACTAATTTTTATTGAGCTACACAAAACATCTGCTTAGGGAATTTGTGCTATTATGATTGGGAGCCAGTGGTTCACATGACCCATTGAAGTTCGAAAGGAAGAATGATTTATGATTTTATACTATCCATTGATTTCCATGGGGATACGAAAACTAGCATTATCTCTTTTACTGAAACATTTTTTACACGGAAAAGCTCCAGTAGAAAGGTTTTATTGTAAGTGTCTTCTGTTTAATTTCCTCCGCTTTTTCTAATTTTTTCTTCTGGTTAGCTCAGTGTGCCGAGTTTTGATTGTTAATTAGTCAAAGTTTTATACAAAACGACTTAATTTTGATGGACTCAGTGTTTAATGCTAAGGTAGTCGTTTTAACCCCGTGATCCACTTTGGAGTACATTCAGAAAGTCGCTTTCGCTTTATAAAATTTGTTGAACATTCATCAACGGGATATATATATAAATTTTAAAAATGCAAAGTTCATTCAAATAATTTATCGCAATACTTATAATAGATCATTCCACTGAAATCTACAGCTGACAGGAAGTTTGTGAAACAACAATACGAGTCATCTATCATACTTTACGAATGAAATTATATGGTCTTGATTTTTATCTAAGCACAGTGTCGCTTTCATAATTTATCCGTTACGTAATCAGGGTTGGGTGGTGGCTAGCAGAGGAATCTTGGAGCTGTTTTTTTTTCTCATTCGGAACTATCCGGCTGAATGTAGCAGTATCGTAGTTTTAATATTTACTCCAGAACTCGAAATTAGTGTTTTTTACTTCACACACCAACGCGTTATCCACTTATCTACTGAATGCAGATAGCCACTGGCACGTACAACGAGTATGAATTATAATCCAGTTTTATGGGTTTGAATCTTCCAATTCTTGGTGTCGCGGAGTGAACATCAACACTGCAATAAGGAAACAGTCAGCTGTTGAGTTTCAAGTAGAATGAAATGCACAACTTGGATTCCACTTCGAGCCACTACCCAACTGTGCTTGCGATTAGTGGCAACGTTGAAGCGAGCCGCTCATGATGCACATACCCTAAAGGAAACTGGTCGATTGCCGTCCTTTATACCAATAACGGGAAGATTCAAACTCTTAAAATTGAGGTATATTCATTGTCTTAAGAAATTCAGTAGCTTGTGCCGATAAAGTTCAAAAAGATAAATAATTGCACTTGTTGAGAGAATAGGTCGGCAATGCGTCTTGTTTTAGACGAATCCGACACTTTAATCGGTTCTAAGTATTCAGATAAATGCTTTATTAGACAATGACACCGTCAGGACGCCAAGTTTTGAAGGATATCTTGTGGCATAATGTTTTTCTCATTTATGAAGTGTAAGATTTGTCGAAGTCTAGTCCCACTTTAAGCTAAATAATTAACTGCGTTGCCAACCTTTCTCACCTTAGTTGTCTCGTCAGCTTTGGTAGTTGTTGATGAACGAAATATGAACTCCAACAAGGAAGCTTAATAGTTATCACGTTGCATACCTAAATGTTTATGAACAGACAAATACATTGACCACCAATTTTTATTGCTTCTCAACTACTTACCTTTTAAGATACATTATATATGTACTGTGAGTAGAACTAAAAATAATACATGGTTGTTCTTGGTTTTTATTTTGTTTTTCCCACAGGAACAATTAAATCTTTTGAAGATGGTAGAAAATGTTAACAATCAAATGCCTTCTCATGAATCATCTGGAAACATTCCACAAAGAGATTGGCTATTTTGGATGGTTTATATAAGTACCATGCATGTAATCGATTTCTATATGACCAGTCTGGTCAGCGGGCGACTTGGTTCTCAATCAGTGACTCGTCTTGCTAAACTAACTGTCGTTATAACTAGCCTAATATTCAGGTTGTCCGATTAGTTTCTATTTTTGTTTTAACCTTCATAATATTTATTGCGAAGCATTTTCATGATCCATAGTATGCATTTAAGTTTACATTTTGTTTGCCGACTATAGACACTTTAAAATGTTGCGATTTCCGACCTTCATATTTCGTTCATAAAGCTTTGTGAGTCTTCCGAAACTAATTCAAGTAAAACTTATGAGCCAAACTACGTATTGGAATTTTTCCAAACCTTTGTTCTACTGACAAAAAACTTGTGAGGTTGTTCGTGCTTTTCTTTATCTACTCAAAATGTGTCAGTGAAAAGATTGGACCATGGCTTCATTTGAACCAGCTGTCGAAATGAGAATCTTTTATCAGTTTGTGTTGTAGAAATCGTTGAATTTCGTTGGAATCCCGAACCGATCTTATTTAAACCATCATTAAAAACCTGAAAGCATTGGTTGGTCGTTTCGTCCAGTGCGGCACTTTTCGTCAGTACGTATCCGTGACTCCACGCCTGAGAATCGAACCCGGGATCCTTGGTATCGCGCGTGAATTCTTGACCTCTAGATCACTGACATGAGACCCCAATGGTCGTAGATGCGCACTGCTGAGGACTACCATACTAGAACGAAACGATCATGCAGTAACTAGGTTTCCAGCGTTTGTCAAACTTAGATCGGTTCGTTATTTCAATGATGATCTCCTAATTAGATCAAAGTTTGAAGGAACTTAAATGCGTTACATAAAGGTCAAACAATCTGATAGCTTTGTATGTCACTAGTATTGCGTTATTACCCCTCAATTAGATGACCTCAATCAAACTGACTTTGTAATTGTGGTTAGATTTCAATCGGCTAGATCGGTGAATCATTACCAAAGAGGATGTAGATATCGTGATGCTGTCTAATCATTTTGAAATACATAAAAAGTCATCAAACAACCAAAAAGTTTTACTTATAGCATCTGAAAGATTAAGATCTCAAATACTCCTCATTAATCAACATATGGACGATTATTGTCCTTTTGAAATTAGGGAAAAAAGAAAATATTATCAAGACTTTGTATTTTCCTATTGTTAATATTCACGACTGTAAATGATCAGTCTCTGTTGTTATGTGTATACTCCATACTGTCTTTAGTTACAAATCCAAATATACTGAATAAGAGATAGTAATTGAAAATGTTTGAAATCTTGTTAGTTTTTAGACAAGATTCTACTTTATTACCTTTAAACTTACAGAACCAGTAGATTTTTGGGGAAATTTTTCTTGAGAGAGTTTCGTTTTCTAACTGTTTACAAGAAGACAAAGAAGCAACAGAATTTCAAAGACGTTTTATTTGATCAGATTGTCGTAATTCCTTATTTCTTATTTCTACACATTTGAACTATTACTGGCTATTGGTCTTTCAGTTACAAAATTGATTAAATCTAGATGTAAACGTTTATTGTTATTGAAAAAATACTATGTTAAACGGATTATTAAGTGAAACAAATTATCTCTATATTAAAGATTTGTTAACATTCTAGTTAAGCTGTTCCTTTGTGTCAGGTTCACGTCAGGTGTAAGTTACATGATGACGAAAAATTATATAAAACATAACTGATTGAAATAAGTTACATTGGTTATCAATTTCAAAATATTTTTTAAGGTATTTTAATGTACTTGGATGTAAAACTCTTTCTTGCTTGTTTTAAAGCATATCTAATTGATATCTTGATTGCATAATTTATTAGCACAAATTCTAATTTCTTTTTGTAAATACATTATGGATCTGTTTCTTCGTCGTTAACTTCTAACTTAGGCCATCTGTGAATCGATTTTTGGCATTGATTTTCCTTATTAGAGTATTGCTTATTTCTAATCACTTTCTGGTTACTTGAATTACTAAGTTTCATTGTCGATAATTCAAAAGCAAACATTACATATCTCATCTAATACCATTTTTAGCCTTTTCTGGTCATCTTCAGATTCCATAGAACAATTTGTTTCAGTCGATCGTAATGAGATTCTTGTAAACAGTTTCCTACTTAAACATCAAATGTCTGTTGGAGTAATTGTTTCGGTCGTTTGTATTTTATATGGTAAGCCACTGTATTCCTCATATTTAGTATCTACTGCTATACTTGTTTTGTGGTTTTTATCTAATCACATTGTTATGACCTGGCTGGAACTACACAACTCGAACTAACTACACAATAGGGAATGCAAGTATCGAACTTGTACCATACTCTCAATAACTCCTTGACTTATCCTCCAAAACAGTTGGAAAGATAAAAGAAAGTAAACGTTTTATTACCATTCCAACCGACAATGTTACTGTAAAAAACTTTCAGTTTGTTCTTGAAAACTAGTAATTAAACATGGAGATTTCGGTACTCCAAGTTCAACTGCATGCGTGAAGTTTAAAATATCAGAACGGTATTCTAAACATTGTTTGTTTAGACTGATTTTAGCCTAGTCTTGGGAAATGGTACATTTCTCAACTCAGATTTTCCGTATCTGGGTATTATAGATTTGACATTTGTCATTGATGTTCCGCCAAGTCTGAGACCAACTCCCTGTAGGATTATTTTCTGTCATCAAGTGATAACTGTCTCTCTTTGAGCTCAAGACAAGTTTATCTTGTCTGTTGTTATAACTTGAGCTAAGATTGACATAGATTAGTGCAAGGGAAACGACAAAGAATCTTGGTGGTTGAAGATTGATTTTGTAATTTAAAACTAAACGATTCCTCGTCCATTAGTTACAAATACTTTCATTTATGTACAATATTTACTTGTATTGATTATTTATGAGCTTAGTTCATGCCGGAATAATACACAACGAAATACCACACTGAATACGTACAACAAATATTATAAAAATAGGTTTTGTACTGAATGAACTGTCACATTGAGTTAATACGTAATCTTACTCTTAATCTTCTAACAATTAACTAAACTAAGCCAGATTATCATATTTTACTGAAGAAAAACCTAACGAATAGATTTCACTGTATGACTTCAGTATGGATTGTGATCATCCTTTAATTGATGTTTTATTATTGTTTATCATTAATTAAGAACTACCATTACGATTTATACATATAGGTTTCAAATTCCAATCTTGTTTAAATTAAATTAAACATTAGGTTGATACTTCACAGGACAATAATTGCGCGCATAGAATATCTTCATAAATTCGCTTCAAAAAACCGCGTAAAAAGAAATGATGTAATCAATCGTCAGTTTTTTAATATACATCAATCTTGTAAATTTTGTATACATCACTATTTAAAAAGAAGAATATATTTGTAAAATCTCAGCGAATGAATTTTTTTTAGGTAAATCCAACGTTTCGCCTGGCAATCTGGTCCAAGCTTTTTCAAGGAAAATATAATCAAACAACAAAATTATCGAATATAAATAGGTACATGGTTCTTCGGTTTACTGTATACTGAATAAGTCTGTGTATATTTAGTTGATTGAAATTTCTTCTCACATCACTTGCGTATAAACACATTCTGTTGTCTTAACACTTTTTGGTTCCATAACACATACCTTGTCCTTATGAGTACAAAAACAATTTGTCATAACCTAGGATAACACGACAGTTTTTTCTTATTCTTTCCCTTGATTATTTTCAAATGAACTTTTATTTGGTTGACCTTTATTATTATTTTTCATATTATTTTCATATAAACATGTCTCTTACACATTAATACAAATACCTATTTATAAAAAATCCTTCACGTTGATTGGATGACTTATTCAGTATACAGTAAGCCGAAGAACCATGTACCTATTTATATTCGATAATTTTGTTGTTTGATTATATTTTCCTTGAAAAAGCTTGGACCAGATTGCCAGGCGAAACGTTGGATTTACTTAAAAAAATTCATTCGCTGAGATTTTATCAATATATTCTTTTTAATGTCTCAAATTAACTCGGCGCCCAAATATTGTGAAACTATTCGTTCAAATTTAGACGAAAGTTCTTATTTACATCACTATTTGTAGAAACATTTCATCTTTGATAGTGATTTTACTTCCGCATCGGAGTTTAAAGCACTTCACTCTATATGATGCGCTACTATAATTAATATGGGCTAACAAGTACTATCATTAGAACTACAAGGCTAAGTGCGTATGTAAACCAACTGGTTAAATCTGTACTTGTTCACTGATTTATAGTAATAAATTTTACCTTACTTTATTTGAATCAGTCATTTCGTCTTTTTTCCAGTGAAATGCTTGCAGAGTAATCAAGTCTAGTTGATTTTGGAAAATCTTTAACTAACAGTATAGTTAGATCTTGTAGAGAAGACTTTTTTTAGCTAGTTACACTTTGTCAAATTGATGAACACATTGTTAACATTAGTATAATCATGAACAGCCATTAAAAGTACCTCTATAGAGAATGTAGTTCAAACAACTACTAATCCTTTTTAAGTTATTATGAGATAATATGACGGAATAAGTTTCTATTCGTTTCGAAAGAAAGTTCATGAAATTGTAGTAGTCTCTGATATTTTTTTATCATATGTTTATTTACGATGAAATTGTTAAGTTGTTTGGTTTTACAAATAATTTGTAACTTATTGTTCTTAATAAAAATTTACCTTCCTAATTTCACTTTTTTTATTTGAATAAAGCTTCAGATCTTTTAACTGCAGATAAATCTGGTCATGGTCCAGAAGGCATTTCAAGTGGTCATTTTATTGGTTATTCAATGGCTGGTTTACCTTTATTTACTGCTGGACAAACACCTACACACGGTACTGCCTTATTAGCGAATTCAGAAGAATTTGGTCTATGGTATCATTTACGAGCTACGTTTCATGGCATATTAACTGGACAAGCTTCACGTCGCATTTTCGCGTTCTTGTGTTTAAATCTAGTAAGAATTTCGCTTTTTTTGTATGTTGTACAATTGACTACTGTTCCTAACCCACCATTTAGCGTTTGTCTATTTTCAGACCTTATAATTTGTGAATTATAAATGTTTAACATTAGCACTTTAATTATTACAGCCACTAGTTGATGCATTAGAAATCAGTTGTATTTAGTGATTTTTCTTTCACTTCATTACATATTTTGATACTGTCTCAGTAATTGACTCGAATATTCATGAATACGATCAAATATCAAACTATTTTGATCTGAATAATTGTTTATTATTGTTCTCAATTCCAATCGCTGTAACATCAAGACATTTTATATTTCTGGAGTCATATAAACTAAATGAAATGATTAATCAAGGAAAATTTGTTGAATGGGTAATCTCTCAACTGCGCACAATTTTTTTTATCAGAAGTACCCCTTGAGCTCATTTTTTCGACTTTGTAGGTGATCCTAAAAAATGATCTCGATAGCTATGCCTTACTAGAGTTAACCATGTGTTCAGGAATTGAGGTGTTGACTGACGTGCATCCTGTTTTAGATGGCCATGAGGAGTAGTGCTGGGATATTTGTTTGGAAAGTGCACGCTCTGTATAATCTACTGTAAAAGAACAAGTGAGCTTGCTAATATACATTAAAGCAGTTCATAGTGATAATCTGTCCTCAACACTTCCTCAAATGGGGTACTTAGTGCAGCTGCATTCTTTTTAAATTTTTTCTGTATTTCATATTACATCTACAATACGGATTCCTGTTTACATTAAAATGCTTTATATGTGATAGATCCACCTAATACGAGTTGTTTAAACATTCGTTTTGTCTTGATTCACATGAATTGCGAATTGGAAAAGGTTATCATTATGCTGGAATTGGAGAGATTTTTGAGATTTGTCGGATATCAATAGGTGATTCATGTTGATGATATCATTTGATCGCGTTGTTAAGAAGACTTAAATCTTCTCACTAACTGATTGAATCGCGAAATACTGTTTTTTTCTCAAATAAACGATCTTTAACTATACTGGTATTTATAAGGCAGTAGTTGGGATAGTCTTTGCAGAGACTGGAAGTATCGACTCTAGCAGTGATCAAGTTTAAAATGTAGATTCATTATGTGAATGACTTATTCGTTGTCAAAAAGGATCAACTGAAGCGTGCTTAGAATTTGATGGAATGGAAAAAATGTTGAGATTTTAGATAGAAGAAATACTAAGATGATCGGAGAGGCCTTAAAAGCTTGACATTCAGGTCAATTAGCAATTTGTAAGCACATTGAAATCGATCAAATTTATCAACCATTTAGAGAAATCATGGACAATCAGGTCAAAGAGATAAACAGTTGAAACAAATGTACGGACAACGACATGTTAAGGTCAACAACAACCAATCAAGATCAGGGTCGATAGAGCAAGCTGTCAGTTATATGTGGAGAAATTTGAATGACATACTCCTATCTGAGTTTTGCGCTGATGATCAGAAGAGTAATGAATGTCTCACGAATAAACCATCCAGCTCAGAACGAAACCCCATCAAAGTTATTCTGAATTTTGATAGAACAATGAGAAGACGGAGTTTTAGCTATTCTTATGAGTGCATACATTAGCGTTCATTCTAACAGATGAGATTTTATTTCAATTTCAGGCTTTTACATTTGTGGAACTTTTTTATGGTGTATGGACAAATAGTTTAGGTTTAATTTCTGACGGTTTTCATATGTTATTCGATTCAGCAGCACTTGTAGTAGGATTATATGCTGCTGTAGTTTCACACTGGAAACCGACACGTATATTCTCATTTGGGTAAGTCTTATGCAATGTTTTCATATAGTTTACAGTTGTTTATTGTTTAAAAAGGTGTTAATGTGAAGTTGGATGTTGCTAAAATGAATGTGTACTTCATATGTTGCTTCAGAATCAGTCTACTTGAACACCCGAACTAAGGACGGGGAGTAAATTAATCGAGTCCATTGATCACTTCTCTTATCATAGAAATCTTATCGCTCCTGATGGTTTAGTGTCTGATGAAATCTTGGCATGAATTCAAAAAGCCCGATTAGCCTTTTCCGGATCGCCCTCATTTTGGTGCAGGCGATTAGGACGAGTATACTCCGTTCTACTTTTACCGCTGTGAGAAAACCATTAAGAGTAGAGTATATTCGTAAGACACTAGTTTTAGATCGCATATGTCTTCCAAACATTGCTCGTGCATGTCGGGATCACCTAGTTAATAGGTAAGACGCAATGTACCAGGTAAGAATAAGAAATCAATTGATGAGATAGTGATCAAGACGGTTGAGACATGTATCGCGTATTCTCATCCACTTTCTATCGTAATGGATGGTGTCATAAGATTAGGTGAGAAAAAAGTGAGGGGTGGTCAAACCAAGATGTGTCATTTGTCCGTAAAGTCATCGAATATTAGACTGAGTCATGTGGGTAGATACAGGCTACCTGATTTAAGCCCTCAATCAATGGCTAGCGACTTTGAGTAACTTTGCTCAGAATCGTTCACAGTGGCAAAAATGCATTTACTTTTTGTTTTCCCTTAGATCCTAAGCTTATAAATTACGTTATAAAGTTTTTAATTCCATAAATCCATGTTTCCTCAAATCATGTTTTTCGTGCTTAATCTTTCTATTATCACCAATACTGTTACTCCTGCTACTACTCTGTAGTTTACCTTGATGATTTTATTTCGCTGTACTAATGTGTCATGAAAACTTGAACCGATGTACCCATGTGTCAGGTCCTACATTGCATATGACTGACTGACCAGATATAAATAAATAATATATGTGTAATATCCCAATGAGTAGAGAAATTAGATTTTCCGACGTTTCGTGACTTCGTGTAAGCTACTTCTTCAGAGAACAAATAAACAGACTAAAATTAATCCAAGTTTAAACAGTACAACGGAACAACACGAATATTATGACATAATATTTATAACGATCTACCCAATGCTCAATTTATTCGAAATTATCGAATCAGACCTTGGTAATGATACCTACGACTGACCAGATAGTTAGTTTTAGATGTTGACGTTTAAAGTTTGCTATTTTTTAGATGTGACTCCGTCAATGTACGATATCGTCTAAAGGGTTTATCAAAAAGTATTGTTACTCTCTGGGACTTTCAAGCGTTTTGGAAGAAATCTGTTTAATTTCATCAAGTTCTAATTTAGTTTGGTTTGTTTTGATCTATGTTATGATTGCCATCTCACTATACTCAACGGGTTAGGGCTAGGTGATTTTCTTCAGAAATCTTAATCTCTTGCTCGCGAATAATCTGAGTAGATACTGACGGTTGTAACGGAAAAATTATCTAGTCGGTATGTGATTAGGAGCGAACCGTAGGACACTGCATAATAGCTCTGTGTTTTATACGGTCGTTAAAGTTGAAAATTTTGGTCACTAAAATGTAACTGAAGAATTGTTTAACATATTTTTGTGGTCCGTTGATCTGACTCTGGTTTGATCGTATAACGATGTTGACGAAATATACATCCCGGATACCCTCGTACATAATTATCAACTTAATTCACGTTAGGGAAAAACGGAACTAAATAAGTCAAATACGAGAATGAATTTGGAATACGTATATTTCATGTACTCGTTGATCCAGGCAGACAATCAGAGAAACGGAGCGGAGAATTAGATCGGAGAAGGTAGACATGTTAACTTCCTTTGATCAAGCGTGACTCAATATTTATATCCAAACAAAAATGAGCTGAAGACGCGATGAATAGGATAAGTAATTAACACATACGGTGATATAAAAGGAGTCAAGGTTAGTAAGTGAATAACTGACAAGGTGTAAATATGGCTCAAGAAGAATGAATAATTTGGTCTATTTGGAATCTAAAACAACCGATATGGGTTCTATTTAGTGCTAGACTCTATAATACTGTCACGAAATCAAACTTCCCGTCACGATTGTATTACTGAGGGTAATACTACAACCGTTCAATAAGTCATTTTTTGCCACTAATTATGTAAGCCACCTTTTTACTAATATTTACGCTTTACGTTATCGTATGATTATTTTTGCGCTTCAATTATCTCTTTCAAAGAACTACAGAATTTGTTTTTTTCCGTATACTTATTCAGATATAACAGTGCAGAGATTCTATCTGGACTTGTCAATGCACTGTTCCTGTTGGTTATATCTGGATCAGTGTTTATCAATTCAATTGTACGTATTCATCAACCACCAGACATTAAAACTGATAAATTATTGGTAAGTTTATTAATCTATTTTTATCTTTCTTGATGCTATGATATGCTATTACATAATTGATTTTTCATTACTCAACATTTGGGTAATAAGCTTTTTCTCTACCTCCATTTATTTGTATATGATTGACGATTATTTTAGTAGAAAAAAAAATCGGAAAGATATGGAAATCTTAACAGAAACATATTTTTATTGAGCTACCACTTAACAAACATATACATTTCAATGTGTTCTTAAAGTTGTTGGTATTTACGGTCTTACTGTCATTACTTACTGATAAGAACTATTGTGAATCACTTCAATCAATGATGAATATGAATCCACTTAATTACATCAATATAATGTAACATTAGTAGATCTTTTATCTTCTTATTTACACTTCAACTCATTAACAATATGCATGGGTCCATTCATTTCAAAAAGTTATATATCAAGTGAACGAAGACTTGGTAGGGGTAACCAATTTATTGTTTAACGCACCTTGTTTAACACATATTATTTGCACTTTCTCTTTGCGTTTTCCTTTACACACTCCATTATTCCTCTAATACTGTTGTTACTTTGACTGTTCTCAGATTTTCTTTCTGTTCTCTTCATTGCAATCTCTTACTGCCAGGCATTCCGCTCCCGATTGCTGATACATACTACTTATATCTGTCAGCTTAAGTAGAATACACCACATATATAGGGATGTTAAAAAGACGTTGGATCAGTCCATGAAGTTATTGACTGTTGGTCTGAGCCATCTTAGTAGATGCAGATTACTTGTCTGGGGTCCATATGATCGTCTCGACCAATATTTGAAAACATCCAGTAACGTGTAAAATCAGTTACAGCGGGACGGATATATTTTACTCTTTGTCTTCATGTAGATCTTGAGTTCTAGTGTCCCTGTTGTTGTTCGTTATTCAAAGCTAATGATAAAATTTCTGTTGAATAATATATTGAACAATTTCTTTGTTTCTGTACCCAAATTTTCAACTTTTCTATTTTAGGCTGTATCTATTTTAGGTTTGCTTGTAAATATTGTTGGTGTTGTCGCTCTTGGTCATGCTCACAGTCATGGAGGCCATGGTCATAGTCATGGTGGACATGGTCACAGTCATAATCATGGAGGCAGTTCTAGTGGACATTGTCATAATCACGAGCATGGTCACAGCCATAGCCGGAATCATAGCCACAGTTCAAATAGATCTCATTCTCATCACTATGATCTCAAACATGCTGTTGAAGCTCATAATGAAGAACTTCATTATGGTCATACACACGGTCATCAGCAGCACTGTGGATCGCACAAATCACAGAAAGATGAAGCAGGAGATGCTAACCTACGAGGTACATTTTGATAAGTTTTCAACTTTTCTCATGTTCATAACTTTAAATAGTGCAGTTATGTATTTCGTGTTGCAGTCAGACTGTTGTGGAAGAGCTTCAAATGTGTAGTTATATGATGTACTTTCGAAATGTACCGAAAACTGTTCTAACTTTACTATATATTAAGAGGTTCTAACCCATTTAAAGGATATTTATTTGTTCGTATTGTTATATGCTAATTTAATAATATTTAAATGTAGTCGAATTGTCATACAAATATTTAACAAATTAGGTACAAAGTTGTTGTTTGGTAAAACCGCAGGTTCACCGATGGCTTAGTTAGGTGCTGGGAAAATGTTCATACGAATAGCATGATTAAAACTTAAAATATCTTATCAGTGAAATCCATTTCTACGTCGAAGTTGTGGTCTTAGAGAAATAGGATTCCATTGTTTATTTGCTTAATAATATAATATTTATGTGTACTATGTTTAATGGATGACTTAATACAGAATTGTACTAGTCTATAATATGTGATATTTATAAGTATTTAAGTAAATCTTTTTCAAATTAACTTAACGTAACTGTTAGTTGTTTTGACAATAGCGTGCTCGATGCAAGCTGAAACCTGGTATCTATCTGCTTGACTATTATTAAGCAATCCATTTCACAGCCTATTATTCTTTAAATCTATGATATAACGTAACATTTTAAAAACGCGTTGTTTTACCGTTATCCTTGTATTTTCGGCCTTCATCATACAAGAAATCCGCTGAGTGATTTCCAAAAAAGTCAGGTTTCAAGATTTACCATTTTGTATTAGAAGCAACTATGAAAACAGAAAACAATGTCAATTTGTGAAATAGTTCATACTTTGTAATCTGTACTGAGTCAATTTTCATAAAATAGCTTTAAATGTGTCAAGTAGAATTTAAAATACGTTTCGACTCACCCCCACCTACTTCGGTTTGGTGTAGCTGTGTAGTTTTCGACCTGGAGGGGGTTGTATAGACCAGATATTCACACTACGTCAGGTCCTAGAACGTAGACACACATTCAGACGCCCCACAATAGTAGTATTTCTCGACCTTAAGGCGGCATTCGACTCTGTTTTGATCGTGAGGTTCTGTGGCAGTGTTTATCACTGAAAAAGTACCAAAGAATTACATTAACCTTATAAAGGCTCTCTACTCGAACACAACTTGTCGAGTGAGAGCTTATGGCGAACTATCATCAGAATTGATTACCTCAAGTGGTGTTCGTCAGGGCTGTCCATTCTCTCCATTCTTCTTTAACTTTGTCGTTGACGTGCTTTTAGAGATGACACTTTCCTCATCTAGATTTCCAGGGGTTGGACTTCTACCGGGAGATTCACTTGTTGACTTAGAATATGCCGATGACATAGTTCTGTTTGGTGAAGACACTGACGAAATGCAGAGTCTTCTGACCACTATAAGCAACAATGCTAGCACGTTCGGCATGCGATTCTCCCCCTCAAAATGCAAAATATTGCTTCAGGATTGGGTTACATCGGCACTCGAACTAATGATAGGGAGTGAAGTAATTAAGCGTGTCGACTGATTCATTTATCTTGGAAGTCTCATCCGCCCTTATGGTCTGGTGTGTGACGAAATCTCAGCACGAATATAGAAGGCTCGACTAGCTTTTGCCAACTTGTGTTCTCTTAAATTCTAATCTTCTGAATTCTTCATGTCCCTTTTTTCCTCTTTCCAAATTTATTTCACTGTATTGTACTCATTGAATAACATCTTCAAACCGTAATCTTTCCGATTACTGCTTATACTCTTTCTACCTCTACCACTACGGGATTTGAATCGACAACTGCATCTCTGTGCTAATGTGGTGTGGCAACTCGAACTGATGTACGTACGTACGAAGTTCTACGTTGTTACTGACTGACTGACTGAGCTGTGTAGTATCTTTAGTTCTCACATACATTGTAACCCAAATTTTTGTACGTAGATCTGTGCTCGATAAATGAATAGTTCCATGTTGATACAAATTTTGTTAATCATTATCAAAAGTCTATATTTCCAAATGAAATACAATTGGTTAGTTTCATACTTCACTTTGTCTTATCATTGTTATTTTGTTTCATTTTTTGCATAGGTGTGTATTTACATGTGCTTGCTGATACTTTGGGTAGTGTAAGTGTAATATTCAGTTCATTTCTGGTAACCAATTATGGTTGGAATGTAGCTGACCCGATATGTTCAATGTTTATTGCATGTGTAATTGGCTATTCAGCTATGCCTTTGCTCAATGATACCCTTTGTTTGCTTACTTTAAAAGTACCTGATGAATTTCATTCTCAATTAATGGTTAAGAAAGTAAGTTATCTAATATTTATATTTGCTTATATTTATGTTTATTTCTATTTTTTATTTCACTATTCATCATATATTTTCTATAGACTTAGATTCTTTTATATACTTCTTTTATTCACTGTTATAAAGTGTAACCAACTTGAATCTGTTACTTGTGTAAGAGTAAATTATCTGTGAGTAATTTGTGTCATTGTGAATGGACTAATTGTTAGGTCTTTAAAAATTACTAATTAAAAATGTTATGTACTTAAACAAATGACAACTCTTATAATAGTATACGTACTTCAAATTATCTTATCGTTAAGTTATCTAAATGCATAGAAAGAGTTTATTTGATCGTTTTGATTCATCATTCTATTTATTTTATGATTCACAAATTTTTTAAACTTCCTTAATTTATTCAATTCAATCCATACCTTTAAAAGTCTACACTCATTGTGGGCAGTGATGGGTAACGAAAACAAAATAAATAGAAAAGGTAGTGTCGGTCGGTAACAGTAGACAATTATTCAGAATAGGTATCAAAATCACCTTTTAGTGAAACTATCACTGAAAGAGATGGGACTGTTATTCGCGTTCAATCCAAGAGATTGAATTGATATACAGAACACTTTTCTGAACAGTTCAACCGGTCTTAGGTTACCCTCTAATTATCCACCTTTAAACAACCTGAGTGGCAAATTTGCATAAGTTTTCCGACTGTTAGTTTGAAACGGTTATAGGTCATTTGGAGTGAGGGAAAACATTGGTTCCAGATGCGTGAGCCCTGAAAATCTCTAAGGATGGTGGTTTAGTTTTAACAGCTAGCTTGACTGAGATCTTAGCTAGGATCTGAGGACTGGACGTAATTCCATCTGACTGGTCTCAATCCCTCATGGCATCAATTTTGCAAGAAAGGACAAAAGTCCTTTCATGACAATTGCAGAGAAATCATTTCGACTAATAATGTCTAAAATATTAGTTTCAATAACAATCGGACGCTTAACTATCACATTTTTATTCCAACTTTTTAGTGGAATGAGTTGAACGAAAATGAACTTTTTCATCAAATTGTAACAGGGTTCTCATAAGAACTGTAATGAACAACTAATTTTTATTTATTGTATATTTATTTAGGCATAGGTAAGTTAAAGTAATGAACCTTCATCGATTGAGGTTATTAGAACGTATGTTACTTACATCTAATCGCCGCGTACCTCGACACACGATGTTGTACGGTGTGGTAGTAGGTTAGAAAAAAGTTGAGGTTGGCTAAACCCAAACATGGCTTCAGTCTATGAAGTCATTAACTGTTGGTCTGAGGCGTGCTGATAAATACAGATTACTTGGCTGAATTCTGCGTGCTTACCACGATAGTTGGTCATAGATTTTGAGCTACATCACTTAGGATCATTCACAATAGTTTAGATGCATTCACTAATTTGGTTGCTCATATGTTTTATTGTTTTAATCAACTTTTTCAGATATTACAAGTGGATGAAGTTGTTTCTGTTTCAAATCCATTTGTTTGGACTCATATGCATAAATCTGTATGTGTTTGTGTAACGGTGCGAATTCAGTCTAGTGCCTCAGAACAAGTATTATTACGAAAGGTAGTTTCCAATGCTTTTATTTACTAAGAATTAATATTTCTTGTGATTTGGAAGTTGTAGTTATACTTTTGTTCACAGTGCTGCTTACGTATTTAAATAACAGATACGTTCTGTAGTATTTCCATATTTTTTGTCAACTATTCTCTTTAGTTTATACGAATATTCGTCAAGATTAGAACGAATAGTTTGACAGTAATTGAGCGCCGAGTATAGAGAAGTCATTATATGTGAAAATTATATTTGAAATATTCTCAGCGATTGAAATTTAACTAATTCCAACGTTTCGTCCAGCTAACTTGTCTGGACTTCTTCAGGGTAATAATCAAAATCAAAATTATCAAAGAAATATATAGCTTTTAACAATCAGGATTATACTGTGTTAAACCAATCATATTCTCTTTAGTTATGGTCTTGCAAATGTGACTCATTCGGTTCAACCGTTTTTAATGGGATATAAGTATTGCTAGGAATATTTCAAATGAGAGCCCGGAAATTTCTCGAACACTAATAAATTTCTCATGTGTAATAACCCATACAAACCACTTGATTTTGATTATAGCGTTAACAATATCAGATAGGTGTACTTAAAAAGTTAGTTCGAATGGAAGGTATATCCTAATCGCGAAAAAGTTCTACAAAACGCCTAGTCCTCTTTTCTTCAAACTGGAACTAAAGGTGATGCCCAAACAAAAATAAAAATACTTGCTTAAAAAGCAATGATAAGGCTAAATGCTTGACGACTTTATAAGTTATGTTAGTTATGAAATTTTTTTCTGTGGAACGATTTCTACACCTAAGACTAGAGAATATGATATTCATAGTTTTTTACTGATCTACTAGTGTCAACATCTAAGTGCAACAAAAGATTCCTGCCAGCGTAAATAGATCGTTGGTAGCATCGTTGATAGCGTTCTGGATATCATAGGTAACATCATTCTACTCAAGATTACAGATACCAACGATTCCCAAGTAGACCGAAATTGTTTAAATATTTTTGAAAAAGGGTGTTTAACCAAAGTTCAGCTAGAACCTCACTTCTATACCGATGGTCATGTTAGTAGTTGTAAAAACTTCTTTTGGATGCAAAGGTTAGGTTGTAGTGTCGGCTACTATGTTAAGCCCACACATTTATTTTAACTTCTGATCACGCCAATTTATTCATTTTTCTTGAGTCAAATTTTCGACCTTGTTAATTTTTCACTTATCAACCTCAACTGTTTTTTATATGAGCGTATGTGTGTTCATTGCTTATCCTATTCATCACATGCCTGTAACTTATTTTTATCTGACTTTAAATATCGATTAAATCTTGATTAAATCGAGTTGAATCACACTCTTTCTCTACTGTGTGTCATTTCGCTTCGTTTCTCCGCTTGTTTGTCTGGATGAACGATTGTATGAAATATACTTATTCGAAATTCATTCTCGTATTTGACTTATTTAATCCCGTTATTGACTAACGCGGATTAAGTCGATAATTATATACGAGGATAGCCGACATGAGTATTTCAATAACAATCATTTACACGATCTACCCGGAGCCAGATATTAGGGCCACAAAATTGTTTATGAACACGGATCCCGATAGCTTCAGCAAAATGCAATAGACGAACTCGTAAACCATGTGCTATGCAGTGAGGGACTTGCCGAATTGTACTTTCTATATAACTGGCTCTACAATAGTTGAAATGGCGAATACACCTGGATGTGGCGAGTTAAGGCAGTTTATCTTCATTGATGGTTTTTATTATCGGGCGGTTGTAGAAAACCATATTCAGTTTGGCTGCAATTTCTTCGGTAGCATCATGTAGAAATAGTAATTTCAACACCAATACTTTCTCTGGAATAGTAGAGCCCCCAAATACCCTGGTACGGCCGAGAGTGGGGAGAGTCCACTCTCCATCTCGAAACGCTCTCACATGACCACGCGTATACAGCCTCTGCCAAGGAAGTCCTACTCACTGCCTTCTCGTGTCTGGAGTGTTGTTTACGAAATTGAGAGGATGAAAACCGAATGTCTAGTGCTTTAACCGGGTTGGTGGACATGGAGAGTACACCTAGGGGAGTTGGAAAACCCTGATTCCAAACCAATGGTGTACATGGTCTCCAGTATCCTAAAGGAACAAATGGCGTATAAACCAATCGTTGGTCACCGGCTACCATTGGATTGCATCTCCTTACGTTGCTCCACTGTCTTGTGGATCAGACGTTCAGGTCGAAGGCTGTGGGTGTGGCCCTCTAAGAAAACCACCTGATTCGGTTTTGGCACCCGGGCATTATCACAGCCCTCACACATATCGAATGAGATTTGTGTGGTGCATATGTATTTGGTGCCTCATTGTAGCAATATCTATGTGTTAAAATAAAGAAATAATAGTAGATATATTTGGTTCTCTTTTCATCCTATATATGTATTTGTGAGTGTATTTCGTTCCTGTAGGTCTAACACTTCGAAAATGTTTTCTCAAATAAAATCTTTTTTAATGTTTCAATGATTTTCATAGATGTTTTTAAATTCTGTCTGTCACATCATTCTTTGCTCCTATCACTTAAAACGGCTTTCATCCTGTTTAAGTGGTCGTTTTCATCCATGAGTACTACACTATAACCTTTGTCTGGTTTCATAATTAACAAATTATCATCTTTATATTTTTTCGTCAAAATCCCTTTCGAATTGTATTCATTGTTTAGGTGTCTAAAGCAACAGTCCATTAGTGTTGATTTAAATCTTTCGACATCATCTTTTGATGAATTTACTAGTTCTGCTGTTTGGGTATAAATGTTTTCAAATTGAATTTCAACGTCCAATTTTTTATTAACCGTTTTCTTAAAGTCACAAAACTTAGGATCTAACATTAGTTGCAATAGTAACTTGTTTTTTGTTCATTAATAATTATGTTTTATTATCATTTAGCTTACTAAACAAAATTTTACCTACTTTATTCTTTTTCATTCGTGTAATAGATTAAAGAATTAATTCAAAATCATTTCACATCTGTATCTCATTTAACTATACAAATTGAAAAAGAAGAATATGAATATCATACTCAAGCTATGGGTTTACATTTATCTGTTATTGGACATTATCCTAAATCATTTATCAATTCGAATGTTTTAATGAATGGATTAACACATCATCATCACCATGATAATACCAATCATTGTGATAAATATAACTGTTCATCTGAACGCATGAATTTATTATCTGTTAAAGATATTTAAACACGTATGCATTGTAGTTGTCAGTCCGTGTCGAAAAGGCATCTTTTGATTTTTTTTCTAGCTCCGTTCCCTTTTGTTCTTCACTTCTTTCCTTATTTGTTCGTGAATTATCACTATTATTTCCAGTTAATTTCTCATTATTCCATATTGTCTAAATCAATAACCCTTCCGGATAATTCTCCTTCACTTTCCACTTTCATTATTGTACATAGTTGTATTCAATCTCTTTAATACCATCTCCACCCCAGTTTATTCTATGAAATTAATCATTATGATCCTTGTCGTTTTTCGTTGTCTTTTGTATAGTATTTGTCTACCGAATAAAGTTCCCTTACTTATACTACTTTTTAGTATAGTAGTATAGAGGTTTATTGGAGTTTTGTATAATATTCGATTTCTAGGTGAATTATATTCAAAATTATTTCAAAGGAGCATTCTCAGCCCTAATTATTTATTTCTTTAACTATGTACTCTAATTCGTACTACTGACTTATGCTATTTCATATAACTGGTTCTGAATCTAACCCTACCGGTTCATCTTTGGTTATTCCTTTCGCTATTGATTTTGTCTGCGCCGTCAGATATCTTATTTTACCTTGATTACGTTTTTTAACTGACGTTTCTTAAATTCTCTGGGAGTTTGCCGGTTATTCTGTCTTTCATCAAGCTTCAAAATGTGCTTTTTTTGTTGGCCTAGTTACACACGTTTAAATTATTTAGTAGTCAACCCCTTGTACTTGTAAATGATTTAAGCGATGACTGTGATTATATTTTTGCTTACAAAATGTGGAGCGTATGCATGAATGTGTTGTTTATTTTATAAGTCTGTTAAATCAACTTAGTAAGGGTTTTTTTGAGTGAAGGTTTTTTATATATACTTTATGATTATTTATCACCTTTTAAAACAAACATTTCTCGTTTTATGCAAAATAAAGAATCGACCATTGTAAAGAATTGGTGTATTTTTAACATTTACTTCGGTCACACGTTAATGATATTTCAGTAATATCGGTTTCCTTAAAATATTCTTCGCTTACTTTACTGGTTTTATTCATTCACTTTCATATTAATTATTTTCTGCTTTGTAAATGAGATTATTGCAAGGCAGATGGGTTTGTTAAAAATATACTTTTTTTAAAACCTGGATTAATGGGTCTTTTTTGAAAAAAATCTAAAAAAGAACAAGCTATGTTTATTCAAAAATCGCTGATTATTTGCCATCCAAAGGACTCTTCACTGACTATAGCCAATTGTTTACTTGTCTGACAACTTGTAACACTATGCCTCCACCATAATGCTCCCACCTTCCATCTTTGAAGTTATTTGCCTGAAAACGTACTAACTAGTGTTTACTGGATTCTTTTTTCGTACATTGTGAACCAACTTGGATAGTAGTATCTTTGACTGAATTCTTAATTTTGTCGAAATCTGTGTCAGTATAGTTTTATGTGATGTGTGTATGTTTTGTAATATTCCCCTTAATTACTTCAGTTGCTGTATCCACAGACCTAAAGTTTTGTTGTGAATATCAATAACACTCGATCAGTATTTGGAGTTTATTCGATTCATAAAGTATTTTAACTGCAACATTAAAGCAAAGTAGAACTGAACTTCAAATTGAAAATGCTTTCTCAATTTCTTTGTGACTTCTTTATCAGGGCTAACACAATTGGTGAAACATGCAGAAAATTGTATTTTATCATTCATTTTGGTAACAGTAATGCATATATTATATAAAAAGCTTAGGTCCTCATCAAAGGTTAGGTGGATGATCTTATTTAGTTCTATGTGAACTACTCAGTTGTCTTGTGAGAATTCTACGTTGGTTAAACTCGTCATAGGTACATTGACTTAATAGGAAAATTTATTTCAAGTATAATGCAGTGATAGGCTAAATTTAAAGTAAGCGAGAAGAAAGTATGTAGAAAATCCATAATTGATACTGAGGCATACAAACAAGATTCCAAATTGCATAACTTTTAGAAATGTAAGTTTAAGAGTATATGGAATAAAGTTACTATTAGATTAGGAATTTCTAGGTGTGGTTGAAAGTTAGGACAAACATTTTTTTAAACACAAAGAACGGTTAGATTTTCTAATGGCTACAGATTTCACAAACTTTGACGATTTCTATTTGAGCATTTAGAGGTTGTTTTTAAATTAAACCCGTCACCTACTTTATTGTACAGAAGCTGAATTGCCAAGTCCCTGAAAAAAATGACTCTGAAGTTACTTTAGCACATTTGCAGTTGCCTTCAAAACAGATCATATGTTCATGCACATGTAGATTTATAAGCTTAAAATATATGATTTAATCATGTATACGTTATTGTGGCGTATGCGGAATTCTGGATTTAATTTTCGCGATGAATAATGTGGGAGTATAATATGTACACTAGCTGGCTATTTTCAGCCAGCGTTTCAAAATTATACTGTTAGATTTTCTCGAAATTTATGGGAACGACTTTTTATAACCCCTATTTTGCTTATTTCTCCCTTTAAATATGTATGGGTAAGGGCGTTACCTGATCGTTCACATTTATTGGCGAATGAAATCGAATCATTATCAATCGCAAATATTATTCTGGATACTCGAAATCTTATGTAGCCTGTTGGACAGGGTTTTTCTGTTTTCTATGGATATCCAGTTAAAAAAAGTGTTTTTTGCACTTTCAAGCCCTCAAACTGGTATTCCGATGCACATAATAGTAACATCTTTAGGCAAATTAATAACAATCCGTTTGATTGAATAAATCATGAAATAGAAAGGCCCACCCTTTATTAACTGACTACTGATTTACATTCATTTTTTACGTGAAGTATTTGACAATGAATCATTTCTTGTAAGTAGAGAATCAGTGAAACTAAATAAAAATTATTACATCGTCATCGAAATACAGAAATGTATGTACTTCTTAACGTGATCATAGTGTAAGTTTACAATATACAAATGCGTGTTTTTAGCCATAGTGAAAATCATGAATTTTCAGTTACCTTTGTAAATGGAAGCATACTTATGTATTAGATTACGGTATAATAATCAAACATTTTCTGTCTACCGCGGTGACAGGCATTACTTCAATCAAATTTTTTTTGGAAAATTCGTTTATTTTGAGGCGAATACGGAGAATTTAAGGGTGAATATTGTAAAAGATGTTGAAGTGTTAACATTAAAGGTTAAAATATAGTATTACTGCAGTGTAAACTTTAGCAGTTTCGCAACATAATACTTCTTAGTGTCCATGATGTCAGTTCAATTTTTTTAAAGTTTATAGTCACTAAGCCTTCAGACCGACCGGTGTTCAGGTAAGAAGATTAAGAATGACTAGCAAGCACTAGTGACAAACCGAATTATTTACGCACAATCAAAGCATATTTAGATGTGTCTGAACCAACAAAATATATTTAGCATTGACCCTGGTTGGATGAACTCACACCACTGACCTGCCATGCCTGTAATTGTCACCTACAACTGAACTTAGGACATTTAATCACCCTGACTTCAGCAAATTATGACACATCTGGCCTGTCACTCAAAGGTGAAACCATATTGAGAATCAAGTGAATAATACTCAAAAAGTACTAGAATTGAAATTCTCAGATTAGTAGGATGTAGATCGCTGATTGAAAATAAGCTTACGCTGAAGTTTATACGTACTCTGATGTTAAGAAGAAGAAACATTTATAATTCACTAAAGCCTAATCAACAACAAATCACTTGGATTTGATCAGAAACAGATAATGTTTGGGTCAGAGAAGGTTAAGTAACAATAAGACAGTTACCTGCATTTCTTATGGATTTGAAACATTACTGCCATATGCTATAAACTAACATTAAAAATATCTGAATATCGTCGACCAACAAAAGTCTAACACGTTTGTCATTTGTTATATCCCGACGAGAATTATAGACAAATTACGCACAAGGCTGCTGAATCATCAATGCTTCGGAGACGTGACGTAAGTTAATGAATTAATTTCTAAATTGCATACAGAGCTGGAAAGTGGTTGCAGAATGAATGAATGTGTCGGTGAAAGCCTACATGAATCTTTGAAAAGCAGTAATTTCAACGAAACAGTAGCAGTTGTACATGACCTACCCAGTGGTCCAGTAATATCCATTTCAGAAACTTGCCATGTAGTGGGTTCGAATCCCATTATTACCGAAACACAATGTACAAGCAGTGACTTGTTCAGCTCACAGAAAGACGGTGTTTTGTTAAATGAGCATGAAATTTTTGCAATACCCGACCACGAAGAAACAGAAAATAATGAATACATACATAATAAATACAGTTGCACTAAATGGAGCACATCATTCTACGACAAAACATTCTCACAAGTCTACTTATCGGAATTTTCTAGTTGTTTTGCCAGATATGGGTTATCTTAATGAATTATATGTTCTTGATGAAATTTCTCACAAAAGTGAAAAAAATATGTCGGATGCATCAAATGGTGATCAAGAACCTAATTCAATTTCGATAGATACTGATTTTCTTAGTGAATTCTCTATTCAATACGGGAAATATGTTTTAAATAGAGTCACATTATTTGTGACTTAGGGAATCGAGGATCCAACACTATTTCATAGGGCAGGATAAAGTCAGGAAATTTACAATCCCGCACATTCACAGTCACTTTTGGCTAGATATTGTACAAATGTTATTTTCCATTTTATGGTACGATATGGTCTGTTTGGTTTGTATATAAACGCAGTAGGTTTGAAATACATTATTCATATCGCAGAGGCTGAGATTGGTATTCTGGAATCAACAGACAAGGCTAGGGAGGAGGAAGGACCGATAAAGACTCTAGACTGCTCGTATGGGTGTTATGTGTCATTGGTCCGGTCTATAAGCCACCATTCTCTAATTGGAGGTATCATGACATTATATATGAATAGGGCACGAAGGAACAAGTTATAACACATCAATAACTGATCAACCTTTGTATTTAAAGTATTATTGTTTTAATGTCTGAAAGTTATCTTGTACATT